AATGGTTTGAGTTTGGTGGATGTGTAGCAAAAAGTAAAAAAACAATTTCTAGCAAAATTGATTGATGCCATCATTGAAGCAACTTAGTCAACTATGGTCAATATAATGGTTAATTGGGTAGATAATATGATAACCAATTACCCAATGCTCATATTTAGGTAAGAAATGATTATTATTGTATCAAATCTCATAGAATGAAGATAACAATAACGTTAAAAACCTTTGTTCAGACCAACAAGGTGGAGGGCAAATGTTTTAATTTTTACAAAGCTAGATATTATGGAAAAGGTTGTTTTTTTGTGAAGGATTAAGGGATGTTAATGTGAATAAAGTGAAATTTATTATGGATACAGCTCAAGAGTATTTACAGTGGCTTTTTCATATTTTGTGATAAAGGTTCAAGAACCTCATTTTTTTTTAAAGTTTAATGGTTTTATGCACAATAAACTTATGAAAACCAAAGGGGATATTTAGACAAACCAAGTTTCTTCACCACTCTAAACTTTAAAGATTGTGTGGCATGTGGATAAAAAAGTAACTTATGGAATGATAAAACCACTTGATTTCTTTGAAACCATATCTTATTTTTCAAAGAAGAGAAAATGATGATATTTCATCTTTAATAACTTTATTTTTGGACTCAAGTTGACTAAACATTAAACTTGTTGTTTTTGGTTTGCTTATGGGATGGTAGTGGATATACTTAGAATATGCTTCAATATTCTAGGATATTCTACCATTGTTATCCATTAAGATTAATCTTGTATTTGTAATCTATAAACATGTTTATAATTTTTAAACTTTCTTAAACACTTTCAAGTATATTCTTTTTATTCTAAATGGTTGATATTCAATAAGATTAATCTTCTGTTTATAAACTATAAATGTGCTTATAATTATAAAATTTATTAGATCAATTGGATTAATAAGTAAGAATAAGCAAACCAAGCATTGCTATATGCAACACATAGCAAATTATTAATCTAATTTAAGAATATTTTATGAGAGAATACAATAATGACTATATGAACTTTGATCCAGTTATAAGCATACATAGTAAAGATCCACTAGTGTCGTACTAAAAAGTTATGAACCAACTTATTTGCCACTTATAGCAAACCTAAAGGAATTTTATTTTTACCTATGACACTATAGTAATAACTCATCCAATAAATTAACATTAATCTTGTCAACTCATTAAATTGCTAATGTAATTAATATATCTCAATAAGTATAAGCAAAACTTTATACAATATGGTAGATGACTTCCTAAAAAGTCCAAATTCAAAAATTTGTATTTGGGGTCATATGTTTAAATTGATATTTGGCTTGTCATAAGATTTAACCAAGAACCCAATTTTAAGCAAGTACTATCGAGTGAGTTTGGGCAATATATTTTGTAACTCAGTAGTATTTAAACTCAAAAATGCATAGCCTTAAAAAGTTAAGTCCTATGACACTGCAAACATTCAAAAACTAGCTTGAGAAAAGAAAGAAAAATGCATAAATCTCTTTATATTTAAATGTTAATGAATCATTTTTCAAATTGTTCTTTTTAATTACTTACAACTAACTTATTTTATTCTTTTTATATAAATAAACAAATGAGATAACATTTCAATAGAATTTATCATTAGTTTGCACAAAATGTTTTAAGGAAATAATGCTATCTAGATTGTTATGGATTAGTTAACAGCTTCTCAATGAAAATGAAGATGACAATTTAACCTTTTATACTTTATACTTTTATACTTGTTTGTACTGATTATGGTGAGCCTGGGAGTGATTAGGATCTGCAAATAGAAAGTTCACTGTAAACCTATTTCACAAATACCTTGGCAAAAATAACACAACATGTTTGGCAGCAGTCATGCCATTCCCATCACAATCTCTTTGCATGAAGGCTGAATGCGTTCAGCCCTGAAATTGAACGTTCCATGCTTGATCTGGGAGTGGGACGTATGTGAGATTTTGGGATGAAATCATTGCAATGATCTGATATTCTCTCACAGTAGAATTAGTGCTCGATATGGATAATCACCCACCAGAACTGGCAACATTTTCCAAAGAACATGAGATAATCTTCATATATAGCATACCTTCATCTTAGTTGTTCTTATCCATTGTTCATGAATGGTTCTAGTACCAAAATCCATGCGTTTCCACTGCCTTGCTTGATGATAACTCTTTGTAGCTTGCAAATGGCGTGAACACACAGTTCAATTATGATTCATGGGTATTTAACCACATAGGAAATGGATCTTCTAACCATCTCAGGCTAAACGACGCTTGAGGGTTTTAGAGCACGATATGAAGAACAGCTCGGCCTGGATCATCGGAGCGCTGCTGCTCGCCTCGCTTGCTAATGACGCTTCAGCTCAGTTTGTTCGTGAGTTTAACGCTCTTGCTCAAAACTTTTGTTCTGGGTTTACTGTCAAGACCTTGTTTGATCTCGGCAAGCACTCAGTAAATGCCTTAGGCTTGTAGCCGGACCCACGGAACAAGTTTGTGTTGGCGCTTGATTCCAGTGGCAATCGCATATGGAAGCTGAGACTGCCACTCTCGCAGAGTAAGCACTAGAACTATCACGCAGAGAACTATCACGCAGTTGGAGAAGCTTTTCTTATGCTTTGTTTTGTGGCTCCAAAGCTTAAGATTTCTTTTTTTCCTCTAGACAGCAGCTTGGAAGCTTTTGCCGGTTCATTCGTGGGGGAGTCCGGCTATGTCGACGGCCCCGCGGCAAAGTCACTTTTTAATCGCCCACAAAGCCTTGCTATTTGCGACAATGGCGCGGTCTTTGTGGCGGATACGAGGAACTTGGCTATACGCAAAATCAGCAAGGATGGCGAAGGTAGGTTCGTTTACTCTTTTAAAAATCTCTAGAACATGTTTTATAGTTTCAACAGTGACCACCATTGCCGGAGGTAGCTCTCGAAAGCCAGGCTTTGCCGGAGACACAGCTCGTTTCTCAGGCGAGTTTAGCTTGGCGTGTTCTTGTGGCTCCTTACTCATAGCCGATCGCGGGAACCGGCTGATTCGCGAGATACAAATCGATGATCCAAACTCGTGTGATTCAAGCGATTCAGCCGTTTCAGGTGACTTCTCATCCTTTACCTGGATTTTTTTCTTTCGATTGGATTTAAAACTCCTGCTTTTTGCTGATTTCATGATCAGGATCACAAAAATGGGCTTTAATTCCCGTAGTGCTGCTTGGAGCTTTTATAATCTGGAAGATACTTGATCAGCGACGCCGGCAAGTAAGTTTCACGAGCAAAGCTGGTGACTCTTATGAAAATATTTCTAGGCAGGCGATCAGCTGGGAAACACTGAAAGATTGCTGGCAGACGTTCCAGAGGACGATGATCTGCAAGTTTGGCAGCAGAAGCGAGCTTGCTAGCGCCGTCTTTAGTCTTTTCCTGCTTGTATGTCATCAGGCACAGCTCCTCGGGTCTGTCTTCTTTGGTGTTGCACACGAAGTAAAAACGAAGCCAACTGAAACTCTCCCAACTTGGACGCTTCTGTTGCTCCTTCTCGCCCTCTTCCTTTTCCGGATTTGAGGAATTTGACTATGGTGCTTGAGTGTTTGGAGAAGTTCCAGTAGGAATTCAAGGACAAGCTCAACCACAGCTAAGAATGTGCTCACACAAACTTTGTTTTTCCACTCTTCTTGAATAGTCCATTGTTTTACAAATAAGTTGACGCTCATGTTCCGGCCGGCTGAGGAGATGGACGTGCTCGAGTTCTCTGAGGCGGAGAGCAATCTCAACGATCTGGTGACCGAGTACCAGCAGTACCGGGACGCTTCCATGACGACGATGACTTTGGGGAGGATCCAACTCGCCGCGCAATCCACAGCGTAAAAACCATTCTCTTTTTTCACAAAGGTTTAAAGTATTACTATTACTATAAAAGTATTACTATTTTTTTCCAAGTCAAGGGTTAGGTTATACTTTCTCGCTTGGATTTTTCTATTCGAGACGTCGGAACGCGCGGTTTCGTCAGGTATGGATGCTTCTCTCCATCAAGAAGCTACGGTCTCTCGCGATCATGAGCCTCCAACGCTTGGCCGCCGAGCTCAAGCGCCCTGGCATGGCGGCCATCACCGAGCTTCACACCCGCGAGCTCCAGCTCCAGCTCCACCGCATCGAGCAGCGCATGGACACCACTGTCCTCGAGCATCTCATGGAGGCCACGAGCCAGCGCCAGCTTTAGCTCCAGTTCTTCAAGGTGGCGCTCCAGTTCCAGCTCCGGCTCCAGCGCCAGCTGCTTTCGTTCATGCTCGCGGCCACCACCCTGGTGATCGAGCTCCAGCGCCTGCTCTCCTTGATCATGCTCGCCACCACGATCGTGCTCCAGCAGCAGCGGTGTACCATCATCATCACGGTGATGGAGCTCCTCTGGTTGTTCACCACCATCACCATGGTCACCATCATGGAGGCCGCCACTACCACCACCACCACCACCACCATCGTCCCGACGGTCACAACGCAGCGATGGCCACACCGACACCCGCGGCAGTGGTTACAGTGGCTCGGAGGACGCCCTGGTCGCTGCTCCAGCTTCTTCTCTGGGTTTTGGTTGCGGTCTTGGTGCTGCTTGCGTGCTTTTTGCTAGTGCGATGGATGTTATCTCGAAGGAAACAGCGCAGGAATGCGATCTTTCAGGACCCTCAGTGGCGGATCGAAGTGAATCCTCTGGCAGTTGTGGTGGACGATTCTCTGACTGAGAAGAAAGAGCCCGAGTGGAGGATTAAAGTGCTAAACGCACAGGAGGAAGACGATTCTCTGACTATGAGCTTGTGAAAGTACGGTGCTACCAGCATAGCGAGTGCTCGAGAGGTTTAAGCGGCGGGATTAGTGTGGTCTAGAATGCACTCTGGCTTCGCTCTAAACGGCACCAACGGACGATGCCTTGCTCTCATGAAGTACCGAGGCTGTGATCTGGACGCTCAAGCGGTTGATACTGCATTGGAAGACCTGTTCCAGTGTTTGGAGTGAAGAAGACACAGAGAGCTTCGTCGATCTGCAAAGGTTATATTCATCGCGACAATCTCTATGCAAGGTGTCGAAGCCTCGTCAAGTTTTTAAATGAATACCCCGGAAGCAACATCGGACTATCTTGATTGCCGGCTATGCTCAGCACAACGAACCGGACGAGCTGTTTCAGCGGATGCTGATAAACTTTCGTGGCAGAACTGAAGGCTTGGGCAGCTCTGGCAATTGGGAAGGTAATTCACTTGACTATCTCCAGATATAGAGACGAAGTCATTGCGTCCGTGGCCAACTCAAAGCGAGAGTATCACTGGTGCTGAGCATGTAGTATTGCGAAGGACTGCCGAGTTATGGTCACCTGCGGCTTTGTTCTGGAAGTCTTAAAACCGGACGTGATTGCTTTCACTTCATCCTCACTGAGTGTAGCGATGCTGGCTTGGCCGACACAGCAACCCAGGCAATGAGCTGATCGTAGGTAAGCACACATTATGCCCTTCACACAGGACTTCCCCATCTTTTAGGATCATTGTTCCTTTAGAGCTAACTCAAGGTTAAAAACTAGCAAATACTAACCCTCTTTTTGACATATCTAGTCTATTGTAAAGTTGTTGAGCTTGCTACCCATCGAAAGGGAATCCAGTTAATATTCTCAAATTGGGACAAGGAAGTGGGTGGTAATGCCGACAAATCTAGAGATAGGAGCCCTCGGAAGAGTTCTCTTTTCTTTTTAACAGGCCTGCCGACCTTGAAATTGGTTCATAGCAGCTTAACTAATAAAAGATGACAAAATCAACTATAAATCCACTTAATCTCCTTCAAACATTATTCTTCCTTTTTAATAAATAAAAGTAGAAATAAAATTTAATGCATTAAATAATCAGCATAACCCAAGCTTTTTGCATCCTCTAGAAAGTTCAAAATTCATTTTTGTCTCAATACTTTCTTGGCTCCCAAAACCAATCCATTATTCAGTAATGCCAAGAAAAATCCTTACAACCATTTCTAAGAGTATCCTCACAACAGCCTTTCATTCCACCAGCTTTTGAGGACTGGCAGTGATGAGGATCATACTTCTCCAGGAATTGAACATCATCTCCCCCAATATTTTGCCCAAAATTCATAATAATTTTACTTTTTTTGACAATACTTTATATGCTAGAAGTTTAATTGGAGAATGGAAAGGCTATAATTTAAATAGTATGTAGTGGATACCAAAATGGTTATAAAAATTATAAGAAAAAAAGGAGTGTTGGTTTGGCATTTCGCTCTGTTTCAAGCCGACCATGATCACTTGGGAAGTGGAAGAATGTTATAGCCAGACAAGAAGCAAGCTGCAGCCTACGTGCATATGGAACTGTAGGCAAAGTTCAGAAGAAGCTTGGACACTGACAAACGTGGAATCATTCATAAGTTTGTACTTATGGGATAAAACTCACGCACATAGGGACAAGATGGCTTCTCAAGGCTGCTCTCAAGGATCAAAGGTAGGTTTCAGACGTAGGGGCCATTGCATGGAACATTCCTGACAAAGAAAAAGAGGAGTTGTTGTGTGGGTACAGCAAGAGGCTGACTATCATTGTGAGTTCAGGAGCAACAATTTGTATTGGCAAGAATTTGCATGTAGACCTGCAATATTTCATCTCCACTCATAGATCCAAAGGTAGCTTGGCACTTGATCTCTTTTTCCAGCATGTAGTAGCAAGGTTGTCAACTTGAGAAGCATGCCAGCTGATTCCAGGATGGAAACTAGATTTTTGATGAGCAAAAGAGGTAAGCTTAGTTCTGGACTGCAACAATGTATTAACTTTAAGAAGTTTTATACGCAGACAAAAGATTCCACATTCTAAACCTCTTGGACTCTACTCCCAAGTGTGGCATGCTCAGCAAGTTTTCGCAGTACTTGGGAGCAGCTAAAGAAAATGACAAAGCCGAGAAAGGAATGGCTCTTCATTCGGCAGCTTGCAAGGTGGGCTATGATCTTGACATGTTCGTGGCAAGGAGTCTGGTGGATCTGTATGCAAGGTGTGGGAGCATGGAAGATTCATGCAGGATGGGTGCAAATTGTGGATATGAAGCTGATGTATTTGTCATGAGCAGCCTCATGGACATGTGGAAGCATCAGAAGTATTTGGGAGGATGAAGAACCACAACGTTGGTTGTATGGAATATAATCATCATGGGACATGCACTTTGAGCTCTTCTATTGGATGTAATGAGATGCTGGAATTGCAGAAAAACATTGTTTCGTGGGATATATTGAGAATATGTCTCAAAATGTCCACCTTTGCTCTCAAGCTCTACAAGCAAGCTGGCAGCCAAACACTCAGGCTTAGCTGGTGCTTTTGTGCAAAGAGGGAAGAGTCCACAAGCTCCACATGAAGGATTTTTGGGGCAGCCTGGATATGAGATGATTGGTAGTTTCCTTTAGATAGGGGACATTGATTTGAGGGGCACTACTATATTGAAGTGTGAGAGATCTGGTATAGATAAGAACAAGGAGGCAAACTAGCTTTTTTCTCTAGCTCTAGTTTTGGAATATAGATGATTGTAGATAGATTGGTTTTTTTTTATATGTGTGTTCTTAGAAATTCTACATCCAAAGTCAAGCTATACATTGAGTCTATTCACCTCCTTAATGTCATTTTGAACTTTTAATTTGGCTCTTGTTTAAAATAATGTCATCAATAGTCTCTTCATCCTCATCATGACCCATACTCTTCATTAGGATCAGCATCCCCCCCCTAAAAAGAACAATTCCAATGAAATCAACAAGCCCTAAATTCCTTCATTTTCTCTTTTTTGAAAGATAAAATGTAATCTACCTCCGGCAATGGTGGTCACTGTTGGAAACAGAAAAAATGTTCTAGAGAATTTTAAAAGAGAAAACGAAAATACCTTCGCCATCCTTGCTGCTTTTGTGTATAGCCAAGTTCCTCGTATCCACCCAAGGACCCCGCCATTGT